GCGCCGCGGACGCCCGGGGGGCCTGGCCCGTGGCGGGCCGCGGCGGGCTGGCCGGGCGGCTCGGGGCTCCCGGCTGGCCCTGTCCCTCCCCGGCGCGGACGCTTTTCTTTGTACCTTCGCATCCTTTGTAATGAAACGTAATAAAAATCCGATGTTTTCGTCTCTGCCTCTCTCCCTTCCTTCCCACCCGGGACCCTCCATCCCCAGGATCCTGGAGGGACACTTTAGTGGCAGGGGGCGGAGCTTGGCCATGGCTGGGCTCCAAGCCCAGGAGGTGGGACCCATGGAGCCACAGTGGGTCACCACCCCTGGGTTCATGTGGGTTCATTCCAACTGGTTCATATTCTTCCCATTTTACAGATAAGGCCATCGAAGCCTCAGAACCCCTTTTCCCTGGAACAGGGGGACAGTGCAGACTCCCCCAGGCCCGAGTGTCCTGTAGGTGTGGGGTCCCCACCTGATGTAGCTCCCCCTTCTCACCCAGGTCCGAGCTGGACAGCCCTGGGCCCACCAGAAAAGGTAACCATAGTTACAGCCTCAGGTTCCCACTCAGTTCCAGGGGGGGGGTCCCCCGAGCCAAGCCCTCCCCAAAGCAGAGACCACAGCTGGCCGCTCCCCCCCACACACACACTTTATTTTGTCCTCTCCCGTCCCTCCCCATGGGTCCCCCACCCTGGTCCCTAGGCTCCCCGCAGCCTCTGGGTCTCATAGTCCTCGGGGATGGTGTCTGCAGAGAGAGAGAGAGGGAGGGAGGGAGAGGTGACTCTCACGGGCACAGTCCTGTCCCCGTGTCCCCATCCCCGCCACCAGGCGGCAGCTCACCGTTGCAGCGATAGCGCAGATTGGCCCAAATGATGTTCTCCTGAGAGAAGCAGAAGACCCCCAGGCGGCCACCACGCATGGTTGTGTCTAAGACCACGTTGCTGTCGGCCACCAGCTCGGGGCCCTCGTAGAACCGCACCCTGCAGGTCGGAGACAGTGAGGCAGGGTCCTCTCTCGGGGCTCCCTACGGGAGGATGGAGAACAAGGACCCTACACCTCGGTAGTGCTAAGCAGAGCGTTGGAATATAGACTGGAGGTTAAGAAACAGGGATTTAGGCCAGCAGGTGGTGCGGTGGTTGAGGGTGCTGGACTCCCACATGGCTGACTGCAGTTCGAGTCCCAGATCTGGCAGCTTGTCATTTTCCCTCTCTGTGTCTCTGGTCAAATTCAAAAATGGTAATAATAATGATAAATAAATGTTAGGGACCAGCAGGTGGCATGGTGGTTAAGGTGCTGGACAATTCCACATGGCTAACCATGGTTCGAGTCCTGGACCTGGTGGCTTTCTCACTTTGCCTCTTTCTCTCTCTGTGTATCTCTCTGGTCAAATTAAAATAAAATGAATGAATTAAAAAAATAATAATAACAATAAATAAATTTTAAGAGTATTTGGTTTAGGGCACGTGCACACGCCAGAGAGACAGAAGGCAAGAAATCATCCCCTTGGGGAGATGGTCATGCCACAATCCCTTCTCCATTCTCTTCTAGGGATTTTGGGCATGCACGCACACGCACCTGGCGTGAGTTTTAAGCCACTGGGTCCGGGACTCGAACTGTGGTCAACTACATGGAAGTCCTACAGTGTAACCATTACGCCATCTTCTGCTCCCTAAATAAATCTTTTATTTTAGAACTATTTTATTTCTTTATTTGAATTGGATCAGAAAGAGACAGAGCGAGAGAGAGAGAGAAAGTAAGAAAGTAAGCCCCCTGCATCAGGATTCGAACCACGGTCAGCCATGTGGGAATCCAGTGCCCTTACCTACCTCACCACCTGCAGGCCCTTCTAAATAAATAATTCTTAAAAAAAAGAGTGAGAGAGAAACAGGGACCCGTGAGGCTCTGTCTTCCTGCTGTGGACCCATTAGGTGCAGGGTCCGTCCCAGCACACAGTAGGTCCAATGTGGGTTCATTCGAACTGGTTCATTCCCATTTTACAGACAAGGCAATCAAGGCCTCAGAACCTCCTTTCTCTGGAGCTGGAGCAGAGGGCCCGGGTGTCCCACAGGTGTGGGGTCCCCACCTGATATACCCCACTTGGGGCCGGTGCTGCAGGAACCAGCGGTAAGACGTTTTGTCCTTCCAGCCCACGTTGCGGGGGTCCTTCCACAGCAGCTTCACCTGGGACGCCGTGTCTCCCGTGTGCCACAAAGCATTCCGCAGCTGTTCCCCGGGCCCCGTGGAGGACTTCACCGCCTGTCATTGCCCAGGGAAGGGCGTCAGAGACCTCGCAGGCCACTAGAACCCTGCCTAGCAGGAGGAGGGGGAGACTTCCAGTGGTAGAGGGGTCGCCCACGCCATCCCCTGAGAACTCTCCCCTCCAGACCTTGGGTTCGGCGCCAGGCCCATCTTTGGGACAGGCCACGCCCACCTTGACCTCACCCCTGCAAGCACACATCAGCCACGCCCCTTCATACTAGCCACGCCCCTTCATACTAGCCACGCCTTGTCCACGGGCCCGCGGACTTGGGGTAACCCAGATGGTAGGCCCCCTTCTTAGAGGCCCAGTGGGGCCTTGTGGAGAGACCATGGGAGGAGACCAGTGGTGGTCTGGAGGCTCATGAAAGAATGTGAGGGTGTCTGCCCAGGTTTTGGGACCTGGGAGGATTAGGGGAGGTCTGCAGGGGTATTTGATGACCTGTAGGTTTTGGGGTGTCTAGGGAAGAATGAGTCTAAAGGAAAGTGAGAAGTCACCCCCAGGGGGGATGGCCACGCCTCAATCCCTTCTCCATTTTCCTCTGGGGATCTTGGGCACACACGCACACGCGCCCAGCATGAATTTAAGCCACCGGGTCTGGGACTCGAACCGTGGTCGACTATATGGGAGTCCAGCGACATAGCCATTGTGCCAACTGCTTGCCCTGGGGCTGGGGGCTTTTGGGGGCTCATGGGAAGGCTCAGGGTCAGGAAGGTCAGATAGGACCCCGGTACCTTGAGCTGGATGCCAGGCTCGGCCACCGCACGGAAGGGGTTGGCTTGCCAGTACGTCTGCTCCATCTGCTTCCACATGACCACGTAGAAGCTGGAGCTGTCCTGGTAGCCAAAGATGAAGCCGGCGTAGTCGTCATCCATGGCCGTGTTCACGTGGAATGTGCCCTCGAAGTCCACACCGTTGAAGGCCGTGTAGCCTGGGGAGGAGGAAAGAGCCAGGGACTTTCGCAGTGCGGTCACCTGTCCCTGCCAGGGCTGCCCCGGACCCCGCCCCTGGCTCCGCCCCATGCTCCGCCCCATGCTCGCTCCAGAGCCGACATGGCCACACCCCCTGCCCAATCTTGGGCCACGCCCCTCCTGAGCCCTGGCCCTGTCCACTGGGTCCAAGCATGGCTGGCCCCACCCTTATCTGGCCCCGCCCCCAAGTCCGGCTCCCCCG